TGCTAATCGTACTATATTATCCTCTGCCATTCTACTAATCTGTTCGTTCCACTCCTGTTTCCGTTTTGTCACCCATCCATTTATGACTTCTATATTGCATGATCTTTTCATGTTTTCGCTTTTTTCCCTAGCCAACCGAATTTCTGTGATATTCGTTAGGACGAATCTGATTTTATTGGTTAGGACTTTTGTGGTAAGCTTCACCACCGCTACCAAGTGCGGTGTTTAAGAGATTTATACCACTATAATTGTTGAAGTCTTCTTTATCTCCTTTCTTAAACATTGGTATCATTATACTGTTTCTCCATGCGTTTGGTATCTTGAAGTGTAATATTAGTTTTTGTATAAGTTTTTTCATCTCTAGGAATATACTTTGTCCTCCGTGTTTTAAAAGTTCCTTGGTTATTTCGTCGGTTTCTGGTGACTTTCTATTAGCTTTATTATATTTAGTTTTTTTTTCTTTATGATTTTTGTATCCACTACTGGACAAAGGCCTCTTCAATAGTTCTCCACTCTTCTCTATTTTGTGCTTTTTGATAACAGTTTCTCCCCATTTTTTGCTCTGGCGCTTTCTATTCACCGTTTTTGTGGCCGTCCTCTTATGTGTCTTCTGGTGGTCTCTAATATACAATGTCTTGCTACGTGTCCTACCAAACTCCATTTTATTTACAGATTTCTTTCAATTACATCTCCCATCTTTGTCCTGCTTTGCACGTCCTCCTCGTTTTGTATATGTTCTCTCAGAACATATCTCTGTGTGGTTCTTTATCTATCGGCTAATAACTCTGTAAGTGTCACGGTCTCCATTCCGTAGGTCGTAACTGGATATAACTGTTGAATACCCTTTTCTTTGAATTTATTGGCATCATTTTGTTTTTCACTCACACTGAGTCTTCTTAGCACTGTCCAAGTTATTCAGATTCTTCTACTGATATCTGCCGTTTGATTGTGTTTGCCCAGTTTGATCGTGTGCCTTTGGTATGTATGCTCCTCGATACTTTACATATCACTTATATCCAAGTCTATTGTGACATTTAATCCTTAATCACTTTAAATTCATTTATGTTTTATTTAAATTCATTTTTAAACCGATCTTATCAGATTCTCATTTAAGTTAACTTATCATACAGAGAAGTTTCTCTGTATTATTGCTTACGAGTACTATGTCATCGACAAATCTTAGTTGACTCAAAACTCATGTATTTTAATTCCCCATTGTTCCGAATTTAACTTTTCCAACATATCTTCTACTGTAAGAGTAAACAAATTTGGAGAGATTTTGTGTCCATTTTCAGATATAACTCCTCTCCTCCTTCCGATCTTATTTTGCTTGTTGTTAGACTTTCTTCTACGATTTTTTGCGTAGTTTCATTGTTTTATATTATGTTTGACGAGTATTCCAATCTGGAACCGATCTTTGCGTTATTTATTCCTTCTAATATGGAGCAGGATACTACGAATTCTAATGACTTATTGTAATGCACAAATACTAAATGAAGGGACTAATTGTATTTGTGACAGTTTTCTACAAGTATCCGTATTGTTGTTGTAAGTTGTTTGATAGTCTGTTTGGTAAGCAGTTTGTGTGGATGTGGCACCAGACTTATTAATCTGTAACTGTCGAGTTTGTATTTGTTTCCTTTCTTAGACAAAGTACCTCTGCATTTTGCCAAGAAGTTAAAATAAGCACTATCAAAGAGGCACTTGTTTATTATGATTGTTATTGCCTTCAAAATAGTTTTACTTCTAGCTATAATCATCTCTTCTGTTATTCTGCTGTCTTCAGCAGCTTTTCTGTTTAATTTAAGGTATTTTTAATTTCCTATTTAGTAATTTATGGTAGTTTTTCTGCTTTATCTTTAGCCGGCTAAGGGCCAGCAACCACAGTGTTGAAGTCCTACGTTGCCATGAAGTTAATTTCATCTATAACTTAAACATTCTAGAATAATAGCAAAAATGTAACTTAAAATTAATTCAAATACATTTAAAGAGTTTTTGACCAGATAATAAGTGGCTTTAAACATATAAGCCTAGATAAATAATACTGATAATGGAATAGGCATTCCGAAAACGTTCTGTGCTTTTATGTAGCCAAAAGGGATATTTTATATTATTATGCTAGACCTTGTATGTAGGATAGTACGAATAGCACGAGATAAGTCACCAAATGGACTAAGAAGTAATGACAGACCAAGAAAAAGATGGTGCGACAATTTAAACAATTTGTGAGGCTAATATTGAAGAAGAAACAGGCATGAAAGCCTACAGACAAGAAGGAAGAAGAAGACGATACCTTTTATGAAGGATTTTTCAAATAAAATTTTTGATATTTTTTTGACATTTTCCTTGTGGGTTTCGATTTATTAATGTATGATAGATATTTATTATTATAGATCCTTCTTTTTGTGACTCATCTCCAATATACATATTTTATTGCAGTTCTGTTCGTTTTTAAAATCTGCAAATTCGAAAAACATTTTCGAAATCAAAAGAATGGCCATTTTCCAGAGAATGCTGAGCAAGTCTTTAGTGATAATTTATTAGTTTGTACGCTATATTTGTGTGTAACAAACCTTCTATGCAGATATTGGTGTGTTTGTCAAATATATGTTGAGTTGTAGTCTGTACAATTTATTTTATAAACAATATTGACCTGATGATTTTTAGTAACATTGGGTTTAAATTTTAAAAGTATTTTCCGAATGTGTTTGATCATTTATGTCCAACATTGATGTCATATTTTGCTAATGTTTGAGATATTTGTTCAGAGAATCCATTAACGATTGATAAGGTTATATAGTGAGTTGTCATGATACACCAAAAAGTTACAGAAAATGTAGAAAATTTTAACTGTATAGCGGACCTAATCACAAATATACTTAAAAAACGAAGGTTCTATAAATAACTAGACAGCGTAAAGAAAAAGGGGCCTGATTAAGTTTTCCGTCTTTCCATGTAAGGTTAATGCTTACCAAGATTTTTACACTAGTAGAATTTTGAAAGTTTTTTTAAGAGTTTGTATTATTTTCTTTCATTCATTTCATCAGTCTTTAATAATATTTCCAGCTCCAAAAAAGGTGCTTACTTAAAATATTAAGAAGTACAATATAAACATTGTTTCTGTGTTCCATTTTTTCCACTATTTATTGTATATTATATAAATAATAACAAAAAGATGACCATATTTAAAGAAATAATTAACATTTTCCAAAGACCAGTATTTTACAAACGACAAAAATGATGACGCCCTTTTGTAAACTAATCCTGATTTGCAACTGGAATAAAAACAGGTTTAAAATGTTTATCTATTAGATGTTACCAAGGCATCAAAGTTTTTTTAATAATTTTGTTTCGATTTATTGTTTAAAAAAATATGACAGAACTATTTGTACGCAGAATGATGAAAACCAAAAGGCAACAACAAAAAAGGGTCATCTTTTATTAACACTGAAGAAAATGTCGTAAATGTAAGACATACTTATAGGTTTTTCAGTCCTGTTATTCTTCTTCTTAGGATGCCTGTCCGTTCCGAACGTTGGCGATCATTCTGGCTATGATGACTTTGTTGGTTGCTATACGAAACAGCTATGTTGAGGTCTTTCTATACCATGCTCTCAGGTTAGCAATCCAGGATATTCTTCTTAGTCCTGGGGCCCATTTTCCTTCAATTTTACCTTGTAAAATGCATTGAAATAGCTCGTATCTGCCTTGATTTCTCATTGTATGGCCCAAGTACTGCAGCTTACAGCCCTTTACGATGTTAACCAAATCTGCAGTTGTGTTCATCCTCCGCAGTACTTCTTTATTGGTGACTTTGTCTGTTCATGGTATCTTTAAGATCCTTCTGTATGACCATAACTCAAAAGCCTCAAGTTTTGATAGTTTCTGCCTTCAATGTCCACGTTTCTACTCAGTACAGAAGCACTGAGTACACATAACATTTAAGGAGCCTTATTTTTGTTTCTAGGCTGAGGTCATGACTCTTGAACACAGAACACATAGTCAAGAATGCACTCTTTGCCTTTCCGATACGACATTTAATTTCTTGGGTATTGTCCCACGACTCATTGATTATAGTTCCCAAGTAGTTGTATTGTCAGACTCGTTCAATTCTTATTTGGTTCATATACAGATTTGTTCCAATTATGTTTTTCTTGCTGATGATCATTAGCTTGGTTTTGCTGGTGTTTATATCTAGTCCATATTTTCTACTTGTTTCCGTTATTTTGTTCATTAAGTTTTGCAGCCCTTCTATGGTATTGAAAAACACTATTGCATCATCTGCATACCGCAGGTTATTGAGCTTGACTCCATTTATTGAGATGCCTTCATCAATATCTTTTAGAGCCTCTTCCAAAATGTGCTCCGAGTACAGATTAAATATCAGGGGTGAAATTATACACCCCTGTCTCACTCCTCTTATGATTTTTACCTGATCTCTATATTCTCCATCTATTCGGAGTACCGCTGATTGATTCCAATACAGGTTAGCTATTATTTTTAAGTCTTTTCCGTCAATACCTGTCCTCTTTAGCACTTCCATCATTTGTTTATGTCTGACTCTATCGAAAGCCTTCTTGTAGTCAATCAGGCATGCAAAAACATTACAGCTGACAGTCCTGTTATAATCCAGTGAAATTTCAAACATAACTTATCGAGTAACAAAACTGCTGGTAATCAGTTTTCGATATGTGTTGTTGTCAACAATTCTTTTAAATACTTTAAAGACACCCCGAGAAACCTTCTTCTAATGAATATTTTATTGAAACAATGCAAAAATTAGTTTTCTTCGAAAAGCATGATTTTTTGTTAAATTGTTCTCTTAAGCGAAACTTTGACTAGACTATCAATAATTGAAACTTTAATACATCATAGGTGATAAAAGTGGTGGTGGATATGTTCGGTGAACCATGATACTTTATATTTTAATTTTTTTGAGACATTATTATACTTCATTGGGACTTTTAAAAACAGCTGTTGGTTATGTTCCCATTCAACTAATGTGTGGGTGGATAATTTTTAATAACTCAACAAATCTCTTTCTTTACAGGTAGTCACCCTTGCTCTCTTGGTAGCTTGTTCTCAAGCCATCCGGTATGACGGCCACGCCGCAACATCATCCATTGTCTTCAATGACAACCACAATTCAGTTCAGCACATTCAGTCCGCGCACGCAGCTCCTTCCCACGGATACGCCGCTCCACTTGCCAGCTACTCTTCCCATGCTCCTATCGCCCAGTACTCCGCTCCCTCTCCAGTAGCCCACTATGCCGCTCCCTCTCCAGTAGCTCACTATGCCGCTCCAGCTATTAAAGTAGCTGCTCCCGTTCTCCTTAAAAGCTCAGGACCTTCCCATAGTGCCAGCTCTTACTCAAGCTTAAACTTCGGTAGTGACAATGGATACTACAATCAGCAATCTGCCCCTGTTGCACACTATGCTGCCCCTGTAGCTAAATTCGCTGCTCCACTACTCCTTAAAGCTGCTCCTGCCAAAGTTGCCGTAGCTCCAGTTGCTTATGCTCAAGTTGCGCCAGCATACAACCACGGAGGATACAGCCATGGAGGGTACAGCCACCATGAAGAAGAATACGTAAGTTGTTCTTTATAAATTGTTAATATTAGTCTTATAGGTAATCTAGAATTAAATATCGGTTTAATTTGTATTTTTGGCTTAGGCTCACCCCAAATACGAATTTGCCTACGGAGTAGAAGACCACCACACTGGTGACATCCACTCACACAAAGAATCCCGCGACGGTGATGTTACTCACGGAGAATACTCTTTGCACGAAGCTGATGGAACTATCAGAACCGTCAAATACAGCGTAGACAAACACAGTGGTTTCAATGCCGTTGTTGAAAGATCTGGTCATGCCAATCACGCTCAACCTGCCAAAGCCATTCTTAAAGCTGTTGCTCCAGCTCCATACTACCACTAAGGTTTTACTTATTGCTCACTAGTTTATATTTGTTTCGTAAAAGTATTGTTTACTTTATACTGTTATATTTTATTTATTTGTTAATAAATGTTTTAGCATTATCAAAGCAATACTTTTATTGATGTACATTTAAAACATACCAAAGATGATCTACAAACTTGGTATGATCATCCTCCTCCTTATCCCTTGAGCCCTTGTTAGGGCATGGTGCCACTCTAAATAATATTGGCTTGCTGCCTCCGTTGTCTGCCAATCGTGATGGGGATCTTCCTTTTGGTTTTCGGCCTTCTACCTTTCCTTCTACTACCAATAGTTCCATACTCTCCGTTCTTCTAGTTATGTGGCCGAAGTAGATTAGATATACCTACTCGTTTTACTTTTTTTATAGCTTGTCTTTTATATAAAGCTTATCCAGAATTGACATATTAATTCTATGTTCTATCCAGGACACGCGTAGAATTCTTTTATAGACTCACATTTCAAATGATTTGATCTTATTCCTATCAATTTTTTTGAGTGTCCATGTTTCAGCTGCGTATGTAGCAATAGCCCACAGAAAGGCTGCAAAACTTAATAAACAAAATAACCGAAACAAGTAAAACATGTGGACTGGATGTAAACACTAGCAAAACCATGCTTATGATCATCAGCAAGCAAAACATAACTGGAGCAAATCTGTATGTGAACCAAATGAGAATTGAACGTGTCTTACATTACAACTACTTGCGACTATAATCAATGAGTCGCGGGACAATACCCAATAGATTAAATGTCATATCGAAAAGGCAAAAAGTACATTCTTGACGCTGATCTCTGGGTTCAAGAGCCGTGACCTCATCCCAGAAACAAAAAAAGGGCTCCTTAAATGTTACGTGTACTTAGTGCTTCTGTACGAAATAGAAACGTGGACATTGAAGGTGGAAACTCTACCAAAACTTCAGGCCTTTGAGCTATCTTTATACAGAAGAATCCTGAAGATACCATGAATAGACAAAATCACCAATGAAGAAATACTGCGGAGAATGAATACAACCGCGGATTTGGTCAACATCATGAAGCTGCAGTACTTGGGACATATAATAATAAATCAAGGCATATACTATATACTCCAATGCATTTTGCAAGGTAAAATGGAAGAAAAAAGGGCCCCAGGACGAAGAAGAATATCCTGACTTATTAACCTGAGAACATGGTATAGAAAGACCCCAACACAGATATTCCGCATAGCAACCAACAAACTCATCATAGACAGAATGATTGCCAACGTTCGGAATGGACAGGTACCCTAAGAAGAAGAAAAAATTGTAGCAATAAGAACATTAAGCGACAACAAATATTGATATCTGCCATTACAAAAACAAAGAAAAAAGGCAACGAAATCACACTTACTGGAAAATTTGTCCACATTTAGCGGTGTAACAAAAGACAAGAGAACGACGAGGGGTTATTTATACTTATTAAAAAAATACTAAAAAATAAAATAACGGATTAAAAGGGATTTAATGAAAGGATAGTAAAACATGATTATATATTAATACAAGTAAAATATTGATCCTACCAACAACTGATAGACGTACTCTCAAAGAGAGACAATCAGCGAGAAATAATATTGATGGGCGATCTGAAAGCAAGAACTGGAAGAAGACAACATAATCTAGTAATCGGTGACACTGGCGAAGAAGTGACAATTAATAAGCTAAATTGAATATGGACTATAGTAAAAAGTAAAGAATTGTGGTGTGTAATAGTATATTTTATTAAAATTATTTAAAATAAATTAAGAACAAAAATGTTCTTGGTCAAAAACCGTTCGTTTTACCGGTGTTGAAGATAAACCAAAGAAAGAAAATTTGTTTGCAAATCAACACGGAAATATTGAAACTATACTAAAATATATTTTTTAATATTTTCCAAACGACATTTTTGACCAAGCAGCCCTATATTCTAATATGTATTTATTGTCAAAAAAGGGGCAGCGTTAAATATGACAGCAGCTGAAATCAAAAAACTGTTTGTAGTTCATTTTCTCTTTGGTTGTACTTGATATCCTCATTTATCTTGGTCTTGAAAAGCTGGGTTGAAAATATCAAGTGTATCTGATGCTTTAACCAGGGATAGGATTATGCAACTGAGAAGCTGCTTTCACTTTGTTGGCACAAATTCTCCCCTTGAGAATCATCAAAATAACGGGCTATGGAAAGTGCAATCTGTTATATATGCGATATGAAATGCATGTCTTCAAATTGAGAGATCAATAAACAACTACATCATTGACGAACAGATGATTCCTTTTACTGGTCGGTGCTCTTAACGTCAATATGTAAATGGCAAACCACGACCAGTAGGATTAAAAAAATTTGTAATGGCTTCATCAAAAGGTATGGTTCTCGATTTTGAGATATACCAAGGAAAATAAACTCTCTTTCAAATGCGGAATATGGACTTGGACCTTCTGTAATCTTGATATTAACTACATCATTACCAAAAGCATCATTTTTGTACTATGACAGGTATTTTACTATACCTCACTTAATAAATAAGCTTTGTGAACTAAAAATATATGGAACTGGAACCGCAGTGAAGAACCGAATTAAAGTTAACTTTGTGCCAAGTAATCGTCTTTAAAGAGGTCAAAGTAAACAATTTAGCTGCAAAGAACAAAATATGATCGGCGTTAAGTGAAGGGACTCAAAGTCTCAGGTGGTGTAAAAATTAAAAAAAGATATGTAGAAATAACATGTCCTGATATTATTAAATCTAACAATGAGAATATGGGAGGTGTTGATATCTTAGATCAGCAACTCGAATATTACCGAAATTTTTTGGATCTTGCTGTGGTAAATTGTTGGATGCAATATAGAGCTAACTGTCAAATAAATACTATTTCAAAACGAAAGATAAAGGATCTCCCATCCTTTCGAAAGGAACTTGCAGAAACATTACTGGCAACTCCTACACAAAGACAGTTTACTAATAGTGATCAGGAAGAGGAAGAAAAAGAGCCTCCAATAAAAAACCACAAATTTATAGAGCTGCGATGCTAGCTGATGATAGAAGGTTGAATAGCTTTGAGCATTTTTCAACTGTAGATCAGCTAACTACAAGCATATTTTGCCACAGAAGCACTTGCAAAAGTAGAACACGAGTCAGGTGTTTAAAATGTAATGTTTATTTGTGCCTTACAAACGATCAAATTGTTTTTTGTATTTTCATACACAGTAGATTTTATATTTTGTATTACCTAAAATAAAATCTATCATGCACAATTGTGTGGGTAACTTTTTTTTTAACACTATGTTCATAATTTTTTTTAAATATTTTTTCTATTATAAGTAACTTCCAAGTATCATTCTGTTCTGAATATTTATATATAATATATATATATATATATATATATATATATATATAATATATATATATATATTGTTATGATGTGTTGTTTCTGTATGAGCTATGAGTAAATTTGAATGATATATGTAAGTATGGGGTTTTTATCGCGGTTCTCAAAGAATTAGTTTGTAAGTACTTTTTTAAATTATCTTTATTATAACTATTATGAAACAAACATATCTATCTAATATAAGCAATATCAATTTAAAACAATCTATCTAAAATTTGAAATTCTTACAATTATTAAATTATTAACAAAATTTGGTACCTTTCTATCCCTGAACGCCTAAAGTTTTTCCAAAATTAAAGTTATTATCACCACTCGATATATTCTTACTCAGCCTTGGTTATCCAACAAGTTTAATATGTTTCTTCTTAATTATCTCCACTCACCATATAAATATATTGAAATGATTTCAATATGGTAAAAAGGATACAACTTAAATGGATTTTTATATGAGTTTGTTGTTCATGAATTTCATGAAGCCATCACAATGTGGGTTTGACTCTGAAATAAAAGAGAGAAAAAGATTAGTAAATTGTTAAATAAATTAATTTTGACTTACCTGGTATAGTGTTAATAATTTCTGAATAGTATAGTTGCCTAGTGTATAGGTGAATCGTCTAAACCTTAAAAAGAACAAAAAAGAAGAATTCTTAAAAAAATATTTAAACATAGAAATTTTAAAAAAACGTCAGAAAATAAACTGTCAAGCAAGTTTGTGGGAGCTAAATTAATAGGGGTTTTGTTAAATAAGAAATTACAATGATGTGGAGATGAAAAGAATAAATTGTATTAGCATTGTAATAGAATAAGTTTTATATCTGAACTTTTTTTTAAATTCCCAAATTAGATGTGATTAAAGTGATTATGAGAAATTAATGTGGATTGAAAAATGTGTCAGAACAGGACAGTTTGAATGGTTGAAAAAAAAATAGAAGACGAAAAGAAAAGAACGTTGGTTGCTGTTAGCAACGGAGAATGGTTTTTTTTTGCAAGACGCCGACGAGGATTTTTGGACGAAGGGAGCCCTGAAACTGTGGAATAGGTCGGGAGTGTTTTTTAACTCGTCTAATTAGAATTTTAGTTTTTCCACAGTTTCCACAGCAGAGATATCCAGAATTTGTTCCATAGAGTAAGAGAAAAAATTTGACTTATAAATTATTATTGGAGTACCGAAATGTCATTTAAATTGAGAAAATTAAAATTCATGAATTAACATAATTGCGATAGGCCTTAAAAATTGAAAATATTATTGATCATTAAATTAAAAATAGAATAGTACGTACCTTAACATCCGAAGAGAGGATTGATATTCCAGTTTCACCTATTATTTTTGTGAGTAGTTAGTTGTCTTTAAAGAAATCAGAACTGTTTTAAAGTGAGGTTGGATAATAATTTTGGAGATCATTTGAAATTTTGATTATATTTGAATGCAAGTTTAAAGTCAGCGGAATAAAGTGTTCAGTTTCTTTTTCTTTATAGTTCATTTAAACACTTTATAAAGTTGCAATATTTATTTAGTTTTTAAGTATTTGTAGAGAGTCTCCACATTTTGTAATAAATTTTTATTGTCACGACACTAAAGCACATTAAGATTTACACGATT